CCCGTATTAATAGTAGCTTCAGGCTCTCAGATACAATCTTGACCCTTCTGTGACACTGTCCCCTCCTTTCTTTCCCTCAGAGGATGTATGCACTTGCCAGAGAGAGCGGGAGAGGGAAAAGCACTCCCCGGTGGCCTGTGGACAGGTGCAGTCCCTTCTCCAGTTCTCTATCCTGCTGGAATTTGGGGCATGCATGCACAGAGGCTGAGTGTGTTTATAAGTCAGTCAGGGCTGGGATTTGAACCATAGTTGGCCAGGTCCCTGACTCATTAGGCCAGGAGGCCAGCCCTATGCATGCCTTTTTGTTTTCCCCAAGGTATTTTCCGCAGGGTGCCTGTGCTCACTAGAGAGAGAGAATGAGAGAGAATGTAAGAAATCCCCCCTCACCGAGAGGGTGGGGAAAGGCCACTCCACAGTCCCTTCTCTGTTCTCTGCCTGGGGTTTTGGGCACGCACGCACACATGCTCAGTGAGATAACGAGTTGTCAGGTCCAGTACTTGAACCACGGCCAGCCATGTGGGAGTCCGGCACCTTAACCACCGTGCCACCTGCTGGCCCCGGCACACCTTTGGAAAGAATGAGAGATGGCAAAGATTCTGCAGAGCTACAGCACGCGTCATCTGCGCTTGGTTTGGACTGGACCGAACTTCCTGCAGTAAGAAGAAGTCCAAGCCTTCCCCCCACAGCCGCCACCCCCACGCTATGATGGCAGCTGAATTTACGGTCTCCCAAGTTAGATTTACTAGGATTAGCACACTTAAAGAGTTGGACAGATTTGTTACGCACATTAAAGCCAGAGGAACAGTAAAATAAAACTAATGAACATTTACATTTTTGGAAATATAATTAATATATGCTTGAGAAATTCTGAAAGATAAACATTTAAATGTTAAAATACTTATTACCTTCCCCACAGGGACAGTGCTGGGAATTAATGAGATAAAGAACGTAAAGTGCTTTGAGCTCTTTAGGAGAAAGGTATCAGATGAATACAAATGATTATTAATTGGTAAATCTATCAGATGGTTACTAATATATTACTTTTAAAAAACATATTCGTATACTTGAAAAATAGATGCTTGCCATTTTTAAGTTGATGCAGCAGAAATAAAGCTTCCAAACTCTCCCCAGGTATCTAAGTCTGGTTGGAAGCCTGTCCCTGACCCTGCCAGGGTTTCTGGACCTCAGTCCCATCCGTCACACCCACCCGCAGGGTCGCTGCCCAGCTGCCCAACTCTCCTGTCCTCACAGATCTGTCACCCTGGGAGAATCCCTCTGCTACCACTTTTTTTTAGTTTTTTGGTTTTTTTTTTTCCCCCTGATTTCTTTGATCACATACATGGGAACTTCAATAAGTTCACGGAAAACCGGAATGACAGTATGAGACTTTAGTGCATCTTTTTTGAAATCTATGTATAATTTTTTCACAATATGCATTTTTCACAAACTTTTTTAAGCCCCCCCCCCAACAGAGAGTGCCGTCCGCTGCCGTGTATTTTATCAGCAGGCAGTGTGTGTAAGTTAACCTGGCTTTCCGTGTCTTAAGCCACTCCTTAGGATTTGTGATAAAAGCATGCAGGGGCCTTACCCGGCCCTTCCCTAGCCCGGGCGAGGGAAGTGGAACCTCCTTCTCACAACACAGGAGAGGAGTGTGGTGGAAGAGTGGACCCCAGACACCTGCTCAGTAAGCCGGAGACGCGGAGTGACATACTCTCCCTAGATCTCGAGTCCCCCTGTGTGAGTGGGACACCGGCAGCCCCTACCTGCGTGGGTGCTGGAAGCTGCGCTAAAACAAAAAACCCCCCCCCAGGCCCCCCCCCGCCTGCAAGTATTCAATAAACGGTGACTGTAAGCGGACGGTGGAGGGCGGGCGGGTCTCTGTCACTCACTAGTGCGTCTAGAAGGTTCCTCTCAGTACGAAGTGGGCAAGACAGGAAGGGACATTCTCATCCAGCACTGCTCTCCTAGATCCTCGGTGCGGTTTGCGCCTCTAAGCACTGCAGACAGTCCTCAGACTACGGGTCGGGAGAGATGGCCGGTGCAGTGGCAAAGCGTGGCTCTCTGAGAAGACTGTGGGTTCCCTTCCGGAGACCGCGCTGAGTCTACTGCAATCCAGGGCTGCCTGAGGCTGGGCTGGGTTATGGCACCAAGAGTGTGTTGGGGTTTTCTCTCTCTCTCTCACAGAAGAAATAAAGAAAAACAAAAAGGATAGACCATTTCTTCTTTTTTAAAAGAGTTATTTTATTTATCATTTTATTATTTTAAAAAAATTTGACCAGAGAGAGAGAGAGAGAGAGAGAGGGAACGTGAGAAGGCAGCAGCCAGGTCTGGGACCTGCGGGAGTCCGGTGCCCCAACCACCACTGCACCGCTGGCCCCCGACTGGCCATTTCCTATACAAAGGTAGCACCGCTGTTCACCGACTGCGTCTTCCAGCAGCTCCTGAAAAGGGTGCCTTTGTTTCCCCAGGCTCTAACTGACACAGCTTTCAATTCCCCCCTTGGAATAGTAAAAACACAGTAATTCATCTCCACTAAATTATGTTGGGGATACTTTTAAAAACCATAAACGATGGTTTTTCTGAGCTTACCTTAGTTTACCAATAGCACGGTGCCTTTGGAACGCATGTGCTAAAAGCTAAGGGGCCATGCCGCTTTTCCAATGTTCTGTAATTAAAACATTGCACTAATTTAATCTGGAGCTCTGGCTTCTCCCACTTAATTACTTGAAGTGACTGTTTCATTATAGCAGGTTTTCCCTTTCCTTCTGCAGGTTTTTCGGTGGAGAACCTTATTCCTGACCAGTCGTCAATGAGACCTGAGTCTGGGCAAGGGCTGCCTTAGGAAAGGCTGGCTGGCTGGGCTAGGGACAGACACCGAGCAGAGCGGCACGGTCAGAGGAAGCAGTCCTGGGGTGGAGGAAGGTCCAGGATGGCGAGCTGCTCTGACTGGCCAGCGGCTTGAGGCTCGGGAGCGCTAATCACAATTCACGAGGAAGCTTCCGGAAAGATGGGTTCTCGCTGAGTGAACGAGCCACTGCTGTGCGGAACAAAGCCGGGACAGTTTCCTTTTAAAGTCCAGAGCAGATGAGAGCCATAAGGAGACAGAGGGTCTCATTTGCTCCCAGGACGGGCCGTGCCAGTGAACTAATGAGTCTCGTGGACCTTATGCTGCTCTGGCGTCAGCCGAGGCCCGACTCTAATGGGCACGCGGCACTTCTATCCGTCAAGTGTCTGGACAACAGCCTCGGCCCCTCCAATGGATTAGAGAGCTCTGGCGAGAAAAAGAGGTCATCCTTGTGCCTAGCACAGGCAGGAAACCTGGCTAATTAATGCACTGCCAGCTACGGCAGAACAAAAGCGGACTCGCAGAGATGTGTGTTACTGCAGAAACTCAGCCTGTGGCCGACGTCGTTAAGAACGACTGCAAGACCCCAGGTAAAAAGAAGGCCGTCTGTCCCCCACACATCAAGTACCCATGAGGTTAGAAGGGTCATTCTTCAGAACAGGACACGATTTTGCACTGCCACTTGCATGTATCAGTCCCCCTTCAGGAAAGCTGGCTGAGGTCGAAATATTTTTGACCGATTACGAAGCAAATGCAAGCAGTTCGTGTCGGCGCTGTGTAAGTTGTAGTTGGCCCTTTTAAAGACACTTGTGAAAACCCTCCTGCTGTATTAAACGGAGACCGAGAGACTGCAAACGTTTATCCAAGCCAGAGGGCTCGCTTTACACTGTGTCTTAAACCAAGAGCAGATACTGCCACCTAGATCCACTCTGGCGCCTTCAGTAACTGGATGTTGGCTTATTCTACCTATTGAAAAATGGCAAAGACGACAAACAAGAGGGGCTTGCTGTAATGAGAATACAGCGAGTGGAAAACACTTTAAAAAGTCACATACAAGTAATCTTCTTGGAAAAATTTGTGTTTGCACAAATAATAAGAACTAAACCTTTATTCAATATTTCTTAAGTGCAGAAGCTAAATTAAATTGCAGAAGGAAAATATTTTACAACACATAAGCAAAAGCTCCGTAATATCGAGGCTTATGAAGAAGTAAATCGAGGGCCTGGACAGCCGCGCAGCAGCCATGTGATGCTCTGTGAGGCTGACACGGGGGACGGTCCGGCCTCAGCACCCGGAGGCCTCTGTACACAACGGGCATGTGCGTGCCCATGAGCTGAGGCTGGGGGGGGACTGGGGCACCAACACCCTGTGGGGGTGCTGTCCCTCTCACCTCCCTCTCTCAGTCTCATGGAAATAAATAAACTAAAAAAAAAAAAGTAGAACCAGCAGGTGGTATAGAGGTTAGGATGCTGGACTCCCATGTGGTCAACAATGGTTCAAGTCCTGGACCCGGTGACTTGAAAACTCACACCGGGCCTATGTGTGTTATATACCCAAACTCTTGAGAGGAAAACGGAGGAGAAGGGATTGCAGTATGGCCATTCCCTGGAGGGTGATTTCTCACTTTCCCTCTCTCTCAATCTCTGTCTCTTGTGAGCACACGTGCCCTATAGCAAAACAAAAACAGAAACAAAATAAAAAATCGAAGAGGTAAATATAGAACTGATATCAGAAAGACCTGCGACTGTTCTTTATTTATTTATTTTTTTTGAGAGATTTTTGCTATAGGGAGCGTGCACTCGCCAGACAGACAGACAGAAAGCGAGAAATCACCCCCCAGGGGGATGGCCATGCCGCAATCCCTTCTCCATTCTCCTCTCGGGATCTTGGGCACGCACGCACACACGCCTGGTGTGAGTTTTAAGCTACCGGGTCCGGGACGCGAACTGCGGTTGACTACATGGGAATCCAGTGACATAGCCATTACGCTAACTGCTGGTCCCTGACTGTTCATTTATTAGATTAGTTTATTCCTGAGTTTGGAACAAAAAAGAGGCTGTGAAACACTCTCAAGTGACAATCCAAACAGATTTAGTTTAATAAGTAAAATATCTGAATAAACAAGTTTTTAAAAGAGCATTACCTTATAACCTGTTCTGATTCATCTTCTAGCACACAAACTGAACTTCCTCCACGTTTATTCCTATCAACAAAGGGAACGATGCCCTTTCTTGCTCTGGACTGGGGTCCAGGACGGTAATGTGTCCCAGGGCTCATCATCTTTGGGCCGTTGCTCTTCCTGCATCCTCCGTTTGTTCTCCTGCGTTACTCCTACGATGCTCTCAATGTCATCGATGGTGGCCTGTCAATCAACAACGAAAGTCATATTCGTTACCCAAAGGCTTCCTACAACCCCACTCCCCCCGAGCATTTGTGCTAAAAGCGATAAGTATACTCCAAGTAGGGTCCGTCAGCTATGCTCACCTATGAATTTTTGGTTGGTTGTCTTGCTGAAATGAGTAAAAATATTAAGGGTAAAAATCTGGAGTGCTTTCTAGAATTTCTCTCTCTCTCTCTTTTTTTTTTTTTAGTTTTTTACCATAGGGCATGAGTGCTTACCAGAGAGAGACAGAAAGAGAGAAAGTGAGAAATCACCCCTCTCCCCCCCAAGGGGAATGGCCATGCCACAATCCCTTCTCCTTCATTTTTTTCCTGGGATTTTGGGCTGGGATATTTGACCACACACGCATACGTGCCCAGCATGATTTTCAATCCACTGGGTCCGAGACTCAAACTGTGGTTGGCCATGTGGGAATCCAGCACCTTAACCTCTATGTCACTTGCCGGCCCCGACCTTTCTAGAGTTTTTTAAGTTTATTAAGTCCAGTAATGAAAACATAGGGGTTCTATTTTGGATGTTTTAAATGATTTTCATTATTTTTAGTAATTTGATTTTATTGCATATGGAAGTATTGATCCATGATAGACTGGAAACAACAAAATAAATAAATTCTTCACTATGGATCACTTGAGAAGCACTAGTCTAGTCTGCTAAAATGCAGGCCCGTAGGATGATGGGGAGAGTTTATTTCCACTGGTGTTTGAGGAAAAAAATTACACCTTTGCATCAATTTTATTTATATTTTATTGAGTTATAATTCACATACCATAAAATTCACCCTTACAAGGTATATAGTTCAGTGTTTTTTAGTATATTGATAAACAACTGTCACCGATATGTAATTCCAGAACATTTTCATCACCCCAAATGGAAACCCCATGCTCATTAGCATCATTCACGATCCCCACCCCAGCCCCGTTTTATAGAATATTATCCATACAATATAACAAAGTCACTTAGTCATCATTTCATGGGCATTTCAGTTGTTTCTACTTTGAGTTTTATAAATTTGCTTCTACAAATAATGTTCTATGAATAATATGTAAACATCAATGTACAAGTTCTTGCATGAACATATTTTCAGTACTCTTAGGCATGAAATTGGTGGATCATATAATTATGTCATGTTTAACTTTTTGAGGAACTGCCAAACTTTATACAGCCGTGACATCATTTTATATTCCTACTGGCAATGTATAAGCGTTCCAGTTTCTCCATATCCGTACCAACATTTGTTATTTCCTGCTTTTTAAAAAACTCGTTGCCATTTTAGGGGTATGAAATGACATGTCTTTGTAGTTTTGAATTGCATCTCCCTAACGACTTCTGATGTTTTCCATTTCTTCACATGTTTATTGGCCATTGGTACATCTTCTTTGAAGAGATGTCTGTTCAAGTCTTTTGCTCCCTCTTTCACTGGTGAAAGTTATTTGTCTTTCCATTGAGTTGTAAGAGTATTTTTTATATTGTGGATTCTAGGACCTTATCAGATAAATGATTTGAAGATATTTTCTCCCATTTTGTGGGTCATCTTTTCACTTTCTTCCAGTTTTTACTTCTGATGAACTCCAATTTGTTTTTACTTTGGTTGCTTGTCTTTTAGTCACAGTATCTAGGAAACCATTGCTAACCCAAGGTCATGAAGTTTTTTTTTTTTTTTTTCCTCTTAGGGTTTTGCCATAGGGCACACGCACTTACAGGAGAGAGACAAAGTGAGAAATCATCCCCAAGGGGGGACGGCCACACCACAATCCCTTCTCCTCCATTCTCCTCTCAGGATTTTTGGACACACACGCACATGCACCCAGTGTGACTTTCAGGCTGCTGGGTGTGGGACTTGATCCATAGTTACCCTTGTGGGAATCCAGTGCCTTACCCACCTTGCCAGCTGCTGGTCCCATGCCAAGGTCATGAAGATTCACAACTGCTTTCTTCTAATAATTTCATAGTTTTGTTTCTTACATTTAGATCTTTATCCATTTTTACTTAATTTTTTTTTTCATTTTATTTATTCATTTTTGACAATCAAATCAAGGCTATTACCTCGAACACCATTTTCAGTAGAGAATTTTACATTCTTGGGTCTGTTAAGTGTTTCTTTCCTATTTGATTTAATTGTTTTTATGATTATTATTATGTCACAGGGTATGTGTGCTTGCCAGAGGGAGACAGAAAGAACACTGAGAGGGAAAGTGAGAAATCATCCCCCAGGGGAAATGGCCACATCACAATCCCTTCTCCTCCATTCTCCACCTGAGAGTCTGGAGCATGCATGAACATGTGCCCAGTGTGATTTTCAAGCCACCAGGTCCAGGGCTCAAACCACAGTCAGCCATGTGGGAGTCTAGTGCTTTAATCACCACATCACCCGCTGACCCCTGTAACTTAATTTTTCTATATGGTATGAGGTAGAGATCCAACGTTATTTGTGTATGGATATCCATTTGTTGCAGTGTCTTTTATTACAAAGATTACTCGTTCCCCCATTCAATTGTTTTGACACCCTTTTCAAAAATCAATTGACCATAATATATGGGTTTATTTCTGAACTCTCAATTCTGCTGCATTGATTTATGTGTTTATTCACATTCCAGTACCAGACTGTCTTGAATACTGTAGCCTTGTAGTAAGTTTCAAAACTGAGAAATGTGAGCCCTTCAACTTCGTTCTTCTTTTTCAAGATTCTTTGGACTATTGTGAGAGCCTTGTATATCCACATGAAGTTTGGCATCACTGGGTCAATCTCTGCAAAAAAAAAAAGTCAGCCGGCATTTTGATAGAAATCGCAGTAAGTCTATAGATCAAATTGGAGAGTGTTACCATATCTTAGCCATATTAAATCTTCCAATCCGTGAACACAAAATGTCTTTCCATTTATTCAGGTCTTCTTTAATTTCTTTCACTGATGTATTTAGTTTTCGGTGTACAAATATTCTTCTATTAAATTTATTTCTAAGTATTTTATTCTTTTTGATGTTATTGTAAGTTGATTTTTTTTTCATTTTACTTTTTGGATTTTTCTTTGCTAGAATATAGAAACAAAATTGATTTGTATACTGATCTCATGTCCTGCAATCTTGTTGAACCTAGTAGATTGTGGGTTCTTTAAGATCGAATGTACATGAGAATTTGCCATCTGTAAATCGAGATAGCTTCACTTCTACTTTTCCAATATGGATGCCTTTTATTTGTTTTCCTTGCCTAATTTCTTTATCTAGAACCTCCAGTATAATGACGAATACAAGTGGCAACAGCAGATATTCTTGCCTTATTTCTGAAAGCTTGGAAGAAAGCTCCCTCTCTTGTACCGTTACCTATGACGTTAGCCGTGTGTCCCTGCAGATATCTCTATCAGACTGTGGAAGGTACTGTCTATTTCTACTTTGTTGAGTTTTGTTTGTTTGTTTTCATTTTTGTTTATTTTTAATCACAAAAGGGTACTGAATATTGTCAACTGCTATTTCTGCATCAGTTTTCTTTTTATCCTGACTGTGCTGGTAAAACCTTATTTACCAAATGAAAATACCTATTATAATGTCACTAGGTAATAGACAGAAAATACTATCAAAGATGAATCTATTCTGCTTTTTGGTTTTGCTGTTATTACCTACATTATTAAACATTTGAGTTCTTACCATTAGATCTTCTAAAAAGAGTAGAAATCAAGATAAGAATCCATCCAGGAGGCTAGAAATGGTAAGATACTTAATTGCTACCTAAGGACATCTGACTTTTGGGGATTTTAGAAGTCAGAGAAAGGACAGAGAAGCAATCTTCATTTAGCCAAGGGTAGCTGATGCTGCCATTCCCAAGTCCAAGCTCAGAATCTTACTTAGTTTGTGGGATTTAGAGATAAACCATCTGATTCTTATTATTAGCTAAATTTGGACAAGTTGATCATATGCAGTCAGGCTATGAATTTTGCACACGGCAGTAACAGATAAATTGATTTAGAAACTTAAAATGTAAAGGATGAGCACATCTGACATTGATGTAACATTGGATCTATTTTTTACTGAATCTTCTCAGTCATGTTAGGGGAAAAGCAAAGGTCATTTATCCAGCTCATGAAGTCACTTTGCACAGTAAAGAACTATTATCATTGTTATTGTCACTAAAGGGGTTAGGCCCTAGCTGGCCTAAAAATGCTCTACAAATTTTCCACACACACACACACACACATACACACACACATTTAAATATTGGGTATTAACCCAATATATATATATTCCTATATATATAATATTATAATTAATATATCTTTTTCCTAAGTTATTTTTCCTAAGGTTTTTGCCATAGGGTACATGTGATTGTCAGAGAGACAGGAAGAGACCGAGAGGAAAAGTAAGAAATCACCCCTAAGGAGGACGGCCATGCCGCCATCCCTTCTCCATTCTCTTCTCAGGATTTTGGGCACATGTGCATGTTTTTCAAGCCAGTGGGTCCAGGACTCCAACCTTGGAGTCCACCATGTGGGATCCAGTGCTTCCACTACCATGCCACCTGCTGGTCCTACAAATTATATTTTTCTCAAGCTTTTATTGGCCTTTCCATTTTAGAGGGGAACCACATTTTGTTTCTGATCGAGTCCTTCGAGTTACTTGACCCATTCAAACGTGATACTGGCCTAGGGTGGGAGCCAGATTCAGTACCACCCGGTCACCCCCATTCAGCTCCCTTGCAGACTTCGCGCCTGCGTTCCAGACTTTAAAGATGTCTAGTCAATCCCGTAAGACTGAATTTCATGGACCCCCATCTGTAAAGGCTGGATAGAGTTTTCCGAAGGTTGGTGGTGAAATATCCACCCTATTTTAAGGAATGGGGTGGGAAAGATGGCCCCATATATGCTGGAATTTTCTTCTGTTCTTCCCTAAGGCTGCATGCACCTTCTAAGGTCTTGGAACTTCTCTGGCCCTAGAAACTGGGGTTCCCCAGGAATCACTAGTCAGACTTCTGTTATCTGAAGCCCAGATTCCGTTCGCAGTTGCTGGTTTCCACCCTCTGTCTGGCTCCGCTGTGGCGGTTGAGTTTCCTCTACAACAGAAGGCAGTTCTGCAGTTTTCAGGCTCCGGTTCTAAAATGGCAGCGAGTTAAAGCAAGTCTACTATATTTCAAAGAAAAAAGTTTCAAACTATTAAATTTAACTAACGAGTTCAGTGGGGACCTTACATATTGACCCTGCACATTGTAAAATATGTACTGCTTACAATAAAAAAAAAAGAAGAAGATGGTTTAGCACTTGTTTACAATACAGCATGAGGTATTTTCAGCCCTCGTATAGAAATTAACCAGGATCGTTAGTTAATTAACACCTCACCTTAAAATTGGTCTCGCCTTGCATATTAGGTGCTGATATTTCTTGATGGATGATGAAGAGATTGCGAGCAAAGGTCGTGAGGACCCCCTGGAGATCCTCCCCGATTGTTCTGTTAATGATATCCAAACAAATGAGTTTACCAACGATTCCCCTCACATGCTTAGAAACAATCACCCTCTCATTTGAGCCTGTCTGGTGATGGAATTTAATGAGTATTTTCAATCTCACAAGGTGGCAATCTTCAGGGAGATATGAAAGATGAGGCTCCACTTTAACTTGTCAACAAAAAGGATTTGTGTAATAAATATTTTTTATTAATCAACTTAGCAGACGACAGCAATAGGTTCGGCCACGTCTAGCCAAGGGCTACCACTGAGCTAGGACTGCAGTATGAGCTCATTTTAGAAACTGCTTAAGTCAGTTTAAGAGAACCGTGGCTAAGGGTGATTCCTGCCTCACAATGTCCTTGTCTACAGAGACCTTCACATTGCAGTGTTCTGGGGATGTCTGTCTGGGGTTTATCTCCTACTTTGTATGTAATAACTGATCCCTGCTACTTGTATGAACGCCCACCCAGGGAGCACCCCGAAGAGAACGGCCCCACCCCTGCCGGGCCATCTCTATAAAGCCGAACACCCACTTTCAGGAGATTCTGGAGACAGGTTGCAAACCACCCCGTAGCATTACACTGTGGCCAGTGAACATCCCCAGACAACTAGATTGTTGTTTCAACTTGGAAACAAAAACGTGAGGGAATTTTTCTAGCTGTATTTGGAATTTCCTTTATCAAAGAAAAAAAAAGTAGGTTAAATGAATAGATTAATTTGCAGAAATTGTGCTATCCGGAGAGGGTGAGTGAAGAGCTGCCCCTTAAGAAACGGGATTTCCCCTGTCCCGATCGTCACTTGTGAAGTGAGTCGTCTCAGGACCTGAGGCTTGGACTCCCTTGGAGTGACTGCCTTCCAGCCTCGTCAAGCTTTCCCTCGGGAGGGGGAGCGAGCCCGAAGCTCCCGGTTCCTGAGACAGAGAGCAGAGCTCTTTGTCCTGCCACTGACTGCACAGTCAGACTGAGGGGAAATGACTTCAGATCTCTGCGTCATTTCTTACCTTCTGAGTAACAGCCTCAAATTCTTGTTTTTTTGTTTTTTTGTTTTTTTAAGAGGTTTTTGCTATAGGGCGCATGTGCTAACCAGAAAGACAGAGAGGAAGAAAGCTAGAAATCACCCCCTGGGGCTATGGCCACGCCGCAATCCCTTCTCCTCCATTCTCCTCTCGGGATCTTGGGCATGAACACACTCGCGCCCACTGTGAGTTTAAGGCACCAGGTCTAGGACTCGAACCGCGGTGGATTACATGGGAGTCCAGTGACATAGCCATTACGCTAACTGCTGGTCCCGACAGCCTCAAATTCTGAGGATGCTTCACCCTTTAGAAACACTGGATGTTAGTATCTCTTCTTTTAAGAGAATAAATCATACCAAAGATCAGAGTGAGTAACTGACGAAGTGGTTTGTATTTTACAGCACTGGGTCAGTCGGTATTAGGCCCAGGGTTCTTTTTTACACCAGTAGATTTGGGGGTTCTGCCTCAGATGAACAAAATCCGAATCTTTGGGTTTGGGGTCCAGGAATGTAGCTTCACCAAGCTCCCCAGATGACTGTTCTGTATACCCTAAACTGAGACTTACACTTAAGAAAAATGATAGCTCGCATATGCATGTGCACACATGCGTGTGCACATATGCGTGTGTGCTGCTGGACCCACACATGGATCCGTGCTCCTCTCCTTTCCCTCCTCTGTCTACTGGGGCCCATGTTGGAAACCGAGAGGCTGGGTGGACTCTCAGTTGCGTTCCATATTAATTCATTTCTAAAAATTTCCTTCATTTTCCCTGCCTTGAAGTTTCTCCTTGAATTCCACTACTTCTCAGAAATATCCCAAATTATGGAGCTGTTACGACATCACCCCACAAAAGCTAAACTGCAAGTCTCTGGCGTGTTAAGTCACCTCCTCTCGGAGCCTGTCTCTTCCGAAGGAGGTAACACGGGCGCTGTTTTCTCACACATCTGATTGCGAGAAGCCGTCTGTAAAGAGCCTGCTGCCAGAGCTCCAGGAGACATCGAACGACGTGAACAGGAGTTTATATTTGCTTGTACTTTCTTTCTGGATCTGAGTTCTAGAAAACAGGACCGCCTCTTGGCCACAGTCTATGTAGTCGCCTATTCCCGACCTCGGCGTCTGCCTGAGCACGGTTCCTAGTTCTCTAGCTGTTATGCCGCCCTGACCACAGCGACGTGGAAGTGAGAATTCCAGGGACAAACTCGAACCCTAATACCCGGAAAGGTCCCAACAGCAAATTCCGTACAAGCCTACACACATAGCGATGGGCCGCGCCGCAGTCCCAGGACTGGATCGCGAAATACGGTCACTGTCCGTGGTGGCTGCTCATTGGCCAGACGGTGTGGTGAAAAAACCCACCGGGGTCGAGATCCAGAGACAAACAACCTACTGTGTGACTCCGGCAAATCACATCCCCTCTCTAGTCGGGCCACCCCTCTGTGCTATGAGGCAGGTCAGTTCCCGAGGTCTTTCCCTGCAGCAGGGACGAGAGTGAAACGGGGCAGGGGCCGTGCACCAGACCCGGGATCTCTCGGAGGCTCAGGGCAACAGCGCCCTCTGGGCAGGACGTGGGTAGTGGTCTCCATTCAGGCACGCGGAGAGGGCGATTTCTACGGCTGCCCCTAGCCTGCAGGTCAAGGCGTCGGCCTGAACCTCGGGGCAGGTGGAGGGACAGCTCGGCGGGTCCCTCTCGGCCACCAGTCTAAGTACTCATCTGTGGGCCTCGGCATCAGATCCGCCCCTGCTAGGCCGGTGATGACTGGGAGCTCTTCTCTCTGAAATTTGGTGCCTGTTCTGTGCTGGCCGGGTTCCACTCTGCCAGAGGACCAACCTGAGCAAGTCTTCCTGTGGCCCAGACCTCAGCATCCCTGCCTGGCCCTGTTGATACGACTGCCGTGTCACCGTCAGCTCTGGGACAGAAGTCCTACTGCCCAGTGTCAGCCTCTCCAGGGCTCGTCCCCTGCTCAAGGAGCTCTTTCTGTGTCCCCTGCTGGCCTGGGTCTCTACCAGCACCTCCTCTTTGAGCACCTCCACCCCACTCCGAATCCCTGTTCCCTAGAGGCGGCCCCTCAGTGTACGCGTGGTGGTGTCCTGACAGCACCCCGAGGTCAGGGTCACTCTTGCTGTCCTTCTGCTCCTTGCGTGGGAACTTCCCCTGTGGTATAGGCAGCTGACAGGAGCCTGACTCTGGGCCTGAATCGGGCCTGCCTGGACGCTCCTCCCCTGTGACGGTGTGTCTAGCTCCAGTCCTGGCCCAGCTTGTCCTGTGCAGGCACCCGTGCATGCTGGCTGGTGCCAGGGAGACAGTTCATGCCTCTGCGTTCTGGTCTCTAGCTCTCACACTTAACTAACCCACCCCCAAGTCCTGAGCTTAGATGTGTACTTGAACCTCGGCCTCCTGCTTAATTAGATTCCTAACTCAGGAAAGCACACATTTCTTATCCCCCAGCTGGCTGGCTGCCGATCTCATCCTGGTAAGTACCCGGTGGGCAGTGTCCTGCCACGGCCATGCATCGTGCATCGCGGTGCCACGTTAGGAGAGAGAGCGGGATAGCAAGTATTTCGCCCCTGGTGTCCCGGCCGCAGGAACTCCTGCTCCCCTTTCCCGGCCATCAGCAGCTGAGCGCCAGCCCAGGGTCACCTGTTCACTGCTAACGCACGCACCTCACTGTCAGCACCCACAGCTGTGCCTGGCGCAGTTCTGAAGTGCTTTCACCTCTCCTGGAAGGAAGGGTGGGCCTGGGAGGGAGCTGAGGGAGAGACCCTCACTTGGAGGCGAAGAGCAGCTCTCCCTGCACACCCCCGGAGGCGTCCTGGCAAACAAGGCACGCCTGCTGGCATGTACGGGGTAGGAGGCGAGGTCTCATTTCTGTTGCTGGCCAGGCAGTAAAGCAAAAGGTGGGGAGAGTCCCTAATGAAAGGATTTTCTTAATAAGACCCAGTAAGTTTTACAGGTTTTGGGCATGCTGGGAAAAGGTTGGGACTGGAGGGAGGATTCGGCTAGCCTGCTCTCTCCCCCGGTGATGAGAAGGGCTTCGGGCTGTAAGTACTCAATTAAATGTTAGCCACAGTTTACCTGCGAGGGGGAAGAGCTATTTGTATAAATTCAGAAGGGTCAGTGAGGCTGTATCGCTGTATGGATAAAGGTCTATTATAACTAATAAGGCTTTGGTAAAACGAAGACCCGCATTTTGGATGGAGGAGTCGAGACCTGCCCTGTTAGTACGCTGCTAAGTGTAAACTCTTACTGTCAATTTTGGATAGTTAATCAATTATATTTATGGACCCACCCCACTTATATATCTGAAGTCATCTTATTAAGTACCTGAAGATCTAAATAAAGCAACATCGATTTCCAACAACTGGGCGTGCTAATTAAGACGCGTGAAAAGCGCGGCTCTCGTGGTCACCGTCATCGTAGCTCACCCTCGCGCACACTGCATACTTACAGCATCCCCAGCTTGTTCCTCTTCAGGTGCTCGTACAAGATAAAAACGGTTCCTTGTCTGTCCTATACAATGTGAGGGGAGAGGAGAGAAGTAGCACGTTATCTTGGAAATGAAGAGAAGGAAACATTACTAGCACAGAAGGACCACTAGGACAGACGGGAATTCAAGTCCAGAGCTACTTTCAAACACGGCGAGACAAAGGCTGTCTCCAGAACACGGAGGAAGTCTGGTCTGGGACGGCGTGTTGTGTCTTGTTTTCAGTCTGCTATACGCTTGCTGGGGAGATGGGGTGGAGGGGAGCGAGAAATCACCTTCCCCCACCCCCCAAAGGGGACGGCCATGCTGCAGTCCCCCCCCCACTGTCCTCTCGGGATTTGGGGCACACATGCACACACACAGCCAGCCATGTGGGATCCAGGCACCTTCACCACCACGCCACCTGGCTAACCCAAGGACAGTGCTTTCTGAGGAGGTCCTAGAGCCTGCATTGGAAGCACCTATAGCATTTTCTTGGGCATCGCCCAAGCGCTGACTCCTTGGAAGAGAATCTGCGTCTTAGCTCACTTTCTGCTATTTTTTTCCTTAGGGTTTTTGCCATAGGGCAAGTGTGCTTCCCTCCAGGCTCCTCTCAGGATTTTGGGCACGCACGCACCCCTAGCGTGATTTTCAAGCTGTTGAGTCTGGACTTGAATTGTGGTTGGCCGTGTGCAAATCTGGCGCCTTAACAACTACGCCCCCTGCTGGCCCACTGGGTGATTCTGGTCACCTGTTCACTGCTAACGCACGCACCTCACTGTCAGCACCCACAGCTGTGCCTGGCGCAGTTCTGAAGTGCTTTCACCTCTCCTGGAAGGAAGGGTGGGCCTGGGAGGGAGCTGAGGGAGAGACCCTCACTTGGAGGCGAAGAGCAGCTCTCCCTGCACACCCCCGGAGGCGTCCTGGCAAACAAGGCACGCCTGCTGGCATGTACGGGGTAGGAGGCGAGGTCTCATTTCTGTTGCTGGCCAGGCAGTAAAGCAAAAGGTGGGGAGAGTCCCTAATGAAAGGATTTTCTTAATAAGACCCAGTAAGTTTTACAGGTTTTGGGCATGCTGGGAAAAGGTTGGGACTGGAGGGAGGATTCGGCTAGCCTGCTCTCTCCCCCGGTGATGAGAAGGGCTTCGGGCTGTAAGTACTCAATTAAATGTTAGCCACAGTTTACCTGCGAGGGGGAAGAGCTATTTGTATAAATTCAGAAGGGTCAGTGAGGCTGTATCGCTGTATGGATAAAGGTCTATTATAACTAATAAGGCTTTGGTAAAACGAAGACCCGCATTTTGGATGGAGGAGTCGAGACCTGCCCTGTTAGTACGCTGCTAAGTGTAAACTCTTACTGTCAATTTTGGATAGTTAATCAATTATATTTATGGACCCACCCCACTTATATATCTGAAGTCATCTTATTAAGTACCTGAAGATCTAAATAAAGCAACATCGATTTCCAACAACTGGGCGTGCTAATTAAGACGCGTGAAAAGCGCGGCTCTCGTGGTCACCGTCATCGTAGCTCACCCTCGCGCACACTGCATACTTACAGCATCCCCAGCTTGTTCCTCTTCAGGTGCTCGTACAAGATAAAAACGGTTCCTTGTCTGTCCTATACAATGTGAGGGGAGAGGAGAGAAGTAGCACGTTATCTTGGAAATGAAGAGAAGGAAACATTACTAGCACAGAAGGACCACTAGGACAGACGGGAATTCAAGTCCAGAGCTACTTTCAAACACGGCGAGACAAAGGCTGTCTCCAGAACACGGAGGAAGTCTGGTCTGGGACGGCGTGTTGTGTCTTGTTTTCAGTCTGCTATACGCTTGCTGGGGAGATGGGGTGGAGGGGAGCGAGAAATCACCTTCCCCCACCCCCCAAAGGGGACGGCCATGCTGCAGTCCCCCCCCCACTGTCCTCTCGGGATTTGGGGCACACATGCACACACACAGCCAGCCATGTGGGATCCAGGCACCTTCACCACCACGCCACCTGGCTAACCCAAGGACAGTGCTTTCTGAGGAGGTCCTAGAGCCTGCATTGGAAGCACCTATAGCATTTTCTTGGGCATCGCCCAAGCGCTGACTCCTTGGAAGAGAATCTGCGTCTTAGCTCACTTTCTGCTATTTTTTTCCTTAGGGTTTTTGCCATAGGGCAAGTGTGCTTACCAGTGTGAAAGAGAGACAGACAGACTGAGAGGGAAAGTAAGAAATCACCTCCCCAGGAGGATGGCCACACCGCAACCCCTTCTCCTCCATTCTCCTCTCAGGATTTTGGGCACGCACGCACACCTAGCGTGATTTTCAAGCTGTTGAGTCTGGACTTGAATTGTGGTTGGCCGTGTGCAAATCTGGCGCCTTAACAACTACGCCCCCTGCTGGCCCACTGGGTGATTCTCTTAACAAGACTCCATACGTTTTTCTTATTTATGGGATCTCGGGAAAAGGCTGGAGCTAGAAGGAAGTATTCAAATAGCTAGTCTGTCTTCTTCCCAGGTGATGAGAAATGTTTAAGACTGTAAGCACTAGATTAAATTTTATTCACATTCTAGCTCCAGAGGGGAAGAAGCATTTGCATAAATTCACACACATCTAAATTTGGAAACATTGTCCCAGCTGTGGTGGCGCTCACCAGTTGATGCTGCCACTCTGCAGGCTGAGGCCACGTGGGAGGCCTGGGCTTGATTCCTAGCTCACCCGAAAAGCCAGTGCAGGGGCACACCTGCAGTCTCACCTACTGAGGAGGCTGAGATAGCACCACACCACAGCAAAGCCCTGTCTAAACAGCAACAACAAGGACACTTTCACAACCGAGTGCAGCGGATTAAAAAAAGTATAGGAAGCGATTTGTTCTGTGGAAGAAAACACGTCAGTGGAGGCTATATGTCGTCTATAGCACACTGTGTAGTCCTTTCCGATTGATTCTGTGGTGACCCCTGCCACCCCGGGAAGTTGCAGGTAACTGACAGACAATTTCAGATAGAGGTTCAACTGTTTTCGCGTTCTTGCTCCCTCTGTAGAGAAACCTGTTTTGCCTCCATTTGTGGGTTTCTTTTCAATATTCCTGATCTTCGGCGATGTCTGTTTTATGGGTTCTCTTTCAGACTCGTGCTAACATCCGCCTAGTTCCCTCTGTTAAATAAAACCTCTATGTGTTCACTGTATTTTTTATATCTCGATGAAAGGCATGGCTTTACTGCTTTTTGAAAATCAACACTTTAACCGTTTTCTCCAAATAAATAAGTGACCCTGGAGTTGTTCAGTAGAGGAGGTGGCTGCCCCTGTGAAGCTGGGAGATCCCCATCACCAAAAGTCAAAAAAAGAAAAATAGATGTTGGGGCCTTGGTAGACGAAATGACAAGCCAGAATCTGCACCATCTGCCGACTCCCTGCTTTATGAGGGAACTCGAGCACCGGGGAGACACGGGGCTAGGACAGTGCCTCTCAATGCCGCCCGCGTGTGAGAATCACCGGAGCAGTTTTGAAGAATTACTTTTCCATTTAATTTCATTTCATTATTATTATTTTTTAAATTTGCTATAGGACATGTGCTTTCAAGAGAGAGCA